TGGATAGTTTTTCAAATTTTCACTCAAGCTTTGTAGACAATGATGACATCGTTTGTTTCCCTACTGATATAAGCTTGAAAGAATAACAAAGTTGGCTTTTCATATATCAATATGTTTTGAAAAATCTAAATGTATTAAATGGAGTAGGTTAAAAATCCATATTGAATAAGATAGTTTATACTAATAACAACCTACATTGAATAAGGGTAATTTAGATAAATTAAAAAATAACTACATTTTTCAATTGGAATGTGGGCTATAGTTTAGGACAAACGAAAAGGAAAACCGGACTATTAAAGTAGGATGGAGGAAGTATTAGGCCTTGCTTGGATTGAAGGTTTTCGTCGGAAAATATTATCGTTTTCCGTGATCACATTTCCCTATCACCTTTTTCCCTCACATATATCAAATCGCTACAGTAATTTTTCCATGAAAAATGACGGAAAATGCAATCCAAACACAACCTTAAACTTCCAAAATGTAAGGAGGATTGGATTGAATGGTAAGAGAGAGAGGTTGCAACTTGTAAGCAAGAGGTTTTGGGTTCAAAACATCTCATTTATAAAAATAAAAAAAAAAATCAAAATGCCAATTTGACCTATACATTAATGTTGAAGAGAAAGATGTCCACACAAATAATCCAAAACACACCATATTCCTTTGTCGAACTCTTCAATAAAAAGAGACAAACTACCATGGGTTTGTTTGGATAGAGTCTGAGTGTTTGGATAGCACAAATATGTCAAATAATATTTCGCTTGCATCATAAACACATTTCCCAACTCACCTTTTTATATTTCTAATTACCTTTTTATCTCACATACATCACATCACAAAAAGTGTTACAGTAATTATTCCAAATAATATTTCAAATAATACAACTCTATCCAAACAAAATTAAATTGAAATATTATTTGGAATAATTACTGCAGCACTTTTTGTGATGTGATGTATATGAGATAAAAAGATAATTGGGAATATAAAAAGGTGAGTTGGGAAATGTGTTTATGATACAAGTGAAATATTATTTGATATATTTTGTGCCCTTTCATATTTCCACATAACTTGCCTAAACTCTCAAGCTAGGAGGTATAGTTCTACTCCCACAGCAAACTCCTTGCCGCTGATTGTCCAGTTCAACTAAATCTACTTAGCTAAAACAGAAAAAAAAAAAAAAGAGAGGGGGGGGGTTTAATTGCATTTACCTTCCTTAAGGCTTGACCAAATTACATATTAAATCTCAAGGTTTGACCATATTACAGTAAGGTCCTTTTATTTCGATTTCAAAAGCCTTATATTACCCGCAAGCCCAAATCGGCCTTCTTCATCTTATTCCTTCATTAGATAACATGTTCAACAATTTATGTCTTAGGCCCTGTTTGGGAAACATTAATGGTGGTTTAGTGGAAATTTTCTTTCCATTTTTCTGGCAAGACATGTTGTCTTTTGTTATTTTGGAAAATTTTCTTCAAAAATTATTGATTGGTTATTCTAGAGCCATCTTGTAGATTTAATTCTTTGGCTTGTAGTTGTTGATTTTGTTTCCTTATTTTTTTTTCTTATTCTTGTATAAGTTTTGCTAATCTCCCCTAAAATATTTGGATGATACCAATTGATTGCTTCTTTTTTGAATTTCAGTACTTAGGAATATTCCACTTGACTCTCATTTGCAATGCTAGTTTAGAATTTCATATATGGGTAGTTATGTTATTTTATTGATTCTGTTTCATACGCTTACACAGTGTTAATGACAAGGGGGTGACTGTTATATGGTCAACCCTCAAGGTTCTATTTGCATTTTGATCAAACTTTAGGGAAGATAAATGAAATGAATCCAAAAAGAAACAAGGGGTGTATTTGCTTCTATAAGCTAATTGTCACCTATTCCTAAGTATATGACGCTTAGGCCTGTCAACGGGTCGGGTCTAGACCCGGATCCGGACCGGATCCGTGAAATTATTGCGGGTATGGGTAGGGATTTAATTCCGTTTCCCAGGTCCGGATCCGGATCCGTTTTGTCAAACAAAAAACGGGTCGGATACGGAATATAGTATTCCGACCCGTATTAGACCCGGATCCGGATATAAATGAATTAATAATTTAAAAAATATATATTTATCAATATAATTTGATTAGGGTGATGTATTTTAATAAAGTTAATTTGATTTCTTTTCTTATTTGGTTTTTTCTTTGCATTAGTTAGAAATTAGTTTACAAATATATTTTTTTCTCATTTTTATTAGAAATTATAAATTTTGGTAAATTTGTTCGGGTAGACCCGGATCCGGATCCGGGACCCACCGGATCCGGATCCGGAACATAGAATAAAAGACCCGTCGGGTAAACGGGTCGGATCCGGATCCGGCAAAGTAATTCGGGTCCGGGTCCGGAATAATGAATTCCGGCCCGGACCCGGCCCGTTGACAGCCCTAATGACGCTTAAATTTTGTGCTTATTAATATGCATGTCTTGTTTATGGTTTCCTAGACCATTTGAAGCGTACCAATGTTCTCATAAGACAGTAGTGTAAATTTATTTGTGCCTGAGCACAAGGGTTAATCATAAAAACTCCCGTTAAAGTTTAACTAGTTTTGCACTTTACTTCGTAACATTATTATTTTTACTTTACCCCCTGAATCATTAGTCAACTCTAATATTGCATACAAAAATGTCAAAAAAATATTGATACCCCTAAGGGTTAATTACAATAAATCCCTTTAAGGCATAGCCATTTTGTACTTTATCCTCTAATATCATTTTTCTATTAATTTGTCAATTTATCCCTGAAACCATTAGTCAACTTTAATATTTTATACCACTCAATAAAAATAATGTTTAAACAAATTAATATCCCTAACATAATTATAAAAACTATTATATATATATATGGATATAGGTCATGTTAAATTTTATCCCCATAATTACAAGTTTTTTTAAATAAAGTAAAATATCTCGCTCATCTCACGTGCTAAGGGCAAAAATATTAGTGCAAAACTAAACTATGAAAATATTATCAAAGGTTTAGATAGGTTTATTTGGATTGGAGATTATTTGGAAATTTTTTTAGAATAATAGCACTTTCTTCAATTTGATATTTGTGAGATAAAAAGTAGTTGAAAAAAATAAAAAGATGATTGAAAAACGTGTTTAGATGCAGTAAAAATTTTTAAAAAATTAACAATCCAAATAAATTTTAATAGCATCTAAGCATGGTATGTTAAAAGAACAACTCTAGAAACTTTGAACTCCAAATCAACCATATTTATCTTTTTTTAGTATCATCAACAAAAGAAAATGCATACTTTCATATAAAAAGAAAAATGTTATCTGCACTCCATTTTTTGTTATTTTCACTCTCACCATTTGTTTTATCATATAGTATAGTAAATGAAAACTATATGATTAAAATAATAGTGGGAGTATGAATGTATGATTAATAAAAATAGGAGTGCAAACACCATTTTTCTAGAAAAAACGTCTAGCTACTAAAAGAAAAGTTTAGCTGTAGGCACATTCACAAAGCGATACTGACAATATCTCGGTCATTTTTAGATTTTTAAAATATTTTCATGTTTTTAATTTTTTAATAACAATTTTTTAATTTTTTCCATTATTAGGTCAAATAAGCAAGATATTATTCTGTTAGGAATATTAGTTTTTTAGATATTAATTGTGCTGGATGTTATCAAATATTGAATTTCACTAATGATTTTAGTAACAAACAAATATTGAATTTCACTAATGATTTTAGTAACAAACAAATAAATTGAAAGAAAAAATGATGTTATGGGATAAAGTGTAAAATAAGCTATACTTTAAGGTGATTTACAGTAGTTAACTCTTAAGAGTATAAATGTCTTTTTGACGTCATCATCACACGATATTAGAATTGATTAACGATTTAGGGAAAAAGCTGAGAAAAAAAATTAAATAATGTAAGAGGACAAGGTGCAAAAGCGACTATGGCTTAGGAGAAAAAAAAAATGTAAGCAGAAACTTTCATCTGAGATCTGGTTATAACACCTCCATGATGAAGTTTGCGTCCACTATTATATATTGCATCCAGATGCACTTAAATAGTAGCAGGAATGCACGAGAATTTGTATTCGGCCCAAAAAGGTCTCCAAAAAGAAATATAAAGAATAAATTGCAGTAACATTCATAAATGGGCAATATACCTGAAACCTGAGCCATTTACCAAATAGGAAAGCGCCGAACGCATGGCGCATGTTTGCTTTCACGATGACCGAGCGTATAAATATTCCGCCGGTTACACAGTAAAATCCTTTAGTTTCTCGTGGCCGTTTTCAGAATTTCCAAGAGAAAAGAACAAAATTTTCCCTTATTAAAGCTTCGAAACAGATCACATGGCCCCCACCAAATACTCATTGCCCCACAAACAGTCTCTCCCCTCCCCTCCGGGAGTGTATGACCAACATCTGCAGGGGAACTGTGGCCGGCCTTCCAAAGGCAGTACAGTACTTCCAATGCAATCATCTCATGATAATTGTTAAAAAGGAATACTGCAGAAAATGGTGGGATTCACTTTGCATGCGTGGTGACTGGTGATCAGTAAAGTTGTAAACAGCCAAAATAAGCCCCAACAATACGACTCTTTTTTTTTTTTTACTTCCACTACAAAAGATTTTTTTAAAAAACTTAGGAAACCCACCACCCATCCCTCATCCAATTTCCACTCCGATCCCTCTATGTCACACTCACACATACAAAGTAAGAAGAATAGCTATTAAATCATTATATACAAAATGATAAAAGCAACATTTAATTTGTAAACCTGTGATAGAGGTACCAGTCTCTCCCCTCCCTACCCCCCCCCCCCCCCCCAAAAAAAAAAAAACTAGGCCATGGATGGGGATAAATTAAAGGTCATTCCTCAGATCAAATCATATGATCAGACAGAGCACGGACGGCTAAAAATTAAATGAATATCTCTAAAAAGAGAGTGGATTTATTACGGATGGTTCCTAGACAGGAGGAGGTTGGAAAAGAAGCTTCTTCAAAAGCGGCAGTAATAGTTTCAGTGGTAGCAGTCTGAGAGAGGAGGACCAGTACAATTCCAATAGGCAAAGGAAAGATCAAGGAGTCCAGCTTCTTTACATAAAGATAGAAACCTACTGTACACATATATGTCACCACTCTATGAACCCCAAATCCGGCCTACAATACAATAGCCAATTGATTAATCTACTAATTAGCTGATTAATTAAAAGACCAGTTATAAAAGTCCCAATAATAATACCAACCAAAGAACAAAAGGGAAGAAGAAAGAAGACAGACAATGGCCCTGTGCGTCCTCGTGTGATGTTAACATATATGATATATTACTCCCAGTAAGTAGTAACCCAGCGTCCTCTCGTTTTCGACCATTTCAGCTGGATCATGCAAGCTGATGATCAATTTAAGGCTTCAAACGTACCCACTCGTACCGGCCCTCCAATGGCACGTCCTTCACTATATCATAGTTGTACCTGATTCACAACAAACAACGACTCATGAGAGAGGCCGAGTACTACTAGGCTACTGTTAAAGCTGATCAATGATACATGACTGTCATTGTTCAGTGTTCATCACTGCGTAGTAAATTTAGAGTGTTGGGTTTCCTCTTTTGGGACTACACGTATTTAGCAGCAGCTCTTCTCTGGGAAAGGTTTTTATTAGAATTGGAAATTATTTCTGGCCTTGATCTCTGCTAGGATTCTAACCTATAACGTTGCCATTAATCACAACTTACTTTTCCGCGAATTGTTTCTGCTGTCGCTTTTCAGCCACGGCGAAGAACTCTTCGATCTCCGCTGCTGAAGGCATGCAAGTTTTGGTTTTCAACTCCTGACGATTTCTCCGAGAAGACTCCTCCTTCTTTGTTGTCGTTGACGATATAGACTCCATCAACTCTATCCCCGAGTCTCCTCCGCAAATCTCACTTGACGGACTCGTCTCTCTATTACCAAATTATATGCATGATCAAATCTGTGGAAAAAAGCTAGAATTTTTTTTTTTTTAAATGTGAAGCAGTGAATAGCGAAACGCTCATGCACATGGAGGATGATAACTAATAAGGTCAGATACAGATACAATTATAGCTCTACTTAAAATTTGAAATTAAAGTTACTTTTAAGCAGATGATCGCTGGTTTCAGTTTCGAAAATTTGAGATAGAAAGGAAGAGAAGAACTGTATTCAGTGCATACCTGAATTGGCGGATTATGAGCGTGGAAATTTCAGTTTCGGAATCCTGGTGCTGTAAATTCAACAATAAACACAAAAATTAACTTCATGTGGATAAGTAAATAAAAAATTCAGAACCTATCAAAAAAAAAAAAAATTTATTACGTAGAGAAGTAGTAGTATTAGTAAATGCTTTCCGAGTTTGAATTTGAAGTTTAGCTTCATCTTCAGATCCGTGGATCTCATTTTCTCCTCATGGACGTTGGCCGCCGAGGACGTCGTCGTTGAATTTGCAGCAGAAGCCGAAACTGTATAGGCTGGCAAATTTAGCTGCGGCTCAGGCGCCTCATCACAATCGTCAACTTTACGTCTCTTACTGGAGCTGGTAACCTCCTCCTCCTCCTCCTCCACGGCTCTCATTTTGATAATTTCTCCTCCGATTTCCGTAGCCGCTGCTGCTGCCATCTCTCCAATTGATCTCTCACATTTCCTCAGGTAATCTCCCATCTGTTTTTAATTAGTCACTCTCTCCCTCTTTTTTTTTTTTTCCCTTCCTCGAGTCTTTTACATATACATATATTTCCGTGTATATATAAATACGTATACCTCAATAAATATCTTTAAATTTGTACACCCGTCGGTATAATGATATTCCGTCCCAGCTTCCACAATCAAATTTACTTAAAAGCGACTTGAAACGCACGCACAACACGCACACACAAGCAGAGTTGCTCTCTCTCTCTCTCTCCACAGTCTCTCTCTCGCTCTCGGCTGAGGAAGGAAATGGAGCTGCTGGAACTTGGGTGGCCCGGGGGAAAGAAGAGGGGGGGGGGGTTAATTAGTTAGTAGTGGTTTGTTGGAGAGCAGGGGTATTATGGGGAAAGGGAGAGAGGAAACGTGGATTGTGATGTGATCGGACGGTGGAGATTGGATGAGACGGTTATGGAAGGCGTTGAACAGAACATGTGGTCCTGACTCCGTTACGGCGACAGGCACGTGGGGATGCCGTCAGGAGGCGATCTCTGGGCCGTTTCTTTTATAGCTTAAAAGAGGATAAATTGATCCATTTGGGCTAATGGCGGAGTGACACGTAATTCAAGGAGAGAGTGACCGGTTATAGCCCGTAAATGTAACCGGGAATCAAAATGACGTGGTTGAAGATGCCCAGGGCATCTTAATGATGATGATTTTCAAGTGGTAACTAACTCACTAACGACTGGTGGAACTAAGAGATTTTAGTAACAAAAAATAGAAAAAGAAAATAAATTTACTGCAATATTTTGAAGTTTAAATGAAGGCTCATACTATACACTTTGACGAATTACATTGTATAGATACTACTGATTATAGATTTATAGTTCATCTTTCTCTAAATTAAGCCATTTTGTACCGTGTAGAACAGCATACATATATTGTAAATTGATCTTAGACTAATTACAATTCAAAATAAAGCAATCACCAATCGCAAAACATAATGCAGTTATTAGCTCCCAAAAAGTTGTCCATCGCTAAAGAATTTTTTAGTCAATCAAATATGTTCTTCCATGAAGTATACGAAATGCGGGAGGGAGGAGGAGGAGGACGGGAAGTAATGAATTGGGTGGTACTAGGAAAGAATGCAAGTGAGAGCTCGGCTCGAGACTTGCGAATTTACTTTTTTTTTTAAATATATATATATATATATATATAATAAAAAAGGCAATGCTGTTAATTGAAATCTACAATTGAAGTATATTGGATGATGATATGGCCAATTGGATGGAGTATTTACTGTAATTTTTAATAAATGGCATTCTGACTAGACAAGACAAACATATTTTAGCTTCTTTTTTTTTTTAAAAAAAAAAAAAAGAGGAACATGTACTTACTTATTTTTGTCTAACGGTGTGTTCTTTCAAAGTATGTTCCCATGTTCTATCAAATAGAGTAACAAGTTAATTCAGTAACAAATCCAGAGAAGGAAGAGACGTAATGCATCATTGACATAATAAAAAAAAAGTGAGACTAGCCTAAAAGTAGGGGCGAGCATTGAATTCGATTTCAATAAATCAGAACTATGAATTCGAAATTTTCAAATATTTGGGTATTGGAAGTTTCGATCGATTTTAATTTCGAATTCATAAATTCCGATTTCAATTTTATTTCGGAATTAGGTAGTCTACCAAATTCGGTGAATTCGGCCCGTTTGACTTGTAATTCATTTGCTAAATTAGATGCTAATTTTTGTTTCTATACAGCAAACTTAATTAGACTCACTATTATTATATATAATATAATTAGTAATTAGAGCTTAGAGGTATTATTGTATCATATAAACATTTGATATTACATATATGTATTAATATATATATATATGCATATGTATATTATATATACGAATTTGAATTCGAAATAGGTAGACGATCTACCATTTTTGAATTATGAATTCGAAATCAAAATTTTCAATTTGGGAAAACATAATCTTGAATTCAAACCTAATTCATACAATTCAAAAATGAAAACTCCGATTTCCTTTCCGCTTTTCATTTTTTCCAATTTCAAAGTTCCGATTTCAAATTGAAATAGTCGGTAAATCTATTTTTTTGGAAATTGCACACTCCTACCTAAAACCTATATAGAAGCCCAGGGCGTTAGGTTGTTCTCTGTATATTCAGGCCATTGTGATTGCAGACGACCTTGTTTCGTTCTCTAAAACTGTTGAACCTGGAGAACAGCAAAGGGTCTATACAGAAGTAGAACTACTATGTTCCAGGAGGATTAATCTTGTGGACATGTAATTTTCAGTAGCAAATACATTTAGTTTTTGTTGTCTGTCTTATAGCAAAAAATCCATTCAACAGATGTATATATAAAAGTTATGTATCTGCAACTTAAAGCTGCAGTGAATCTTAAAAATTTGCAAATGGTAGAGTTCGCCGGCGTATAATATTTGACGCAATTCCAAATTCTTTTATAATCTAAATACAGTGAGGGATTTATTTCAAGTAATGGCGTTAATTATTTCAACCTACCTAGCAAGACTTCTAATCTAAATGCCTAAAGTTATCCAGATGACCAAAAATTTTCAGTCTTCATCCATACATGATACATCCCTCCAGTTCAATCTTCATACGTTTCTTGCTAGTGATCTTTCTGCATTCCGATCAATTCCCTCGAAGTTGTGCGTGTGTGTGTACGTGTGTAAAAAAAAAATTTCTAGCAACCGTGATCCTGTTGACATCGTCTGCACAGCGTTAATTCTTATCTGCCTATTTTATATGTATGTTGAATCAAGCCGTCTTCAATGAAGAAATACAGCGTCACTGTCATCATATAACGCGACGGACATCTTCGGTTAATAAATTGAAGTCGTATTAACAATATTGAAGTCGTATCCATCACGGTAGTTGTATCCATGGTACATACGTCCGTCCATTTTACACGCATGGATGTATATATATGTATGTATATCCGTGTTTCTGAGCAAGAGAGCTCAACAAATTAGGTTAGAGTTCTGTATTAAATTGTCATGAAGGTCCATAACAACTCAGCCACTGTCGACTGGAAACATTACCAATTTGGCATGCAGATGAATGACTTCTCAATTGTACTTTGAAGTTTGCCCCTCTCTCTGTCTCTCTCTCGAAAAAGTTTGCGTCGATAGAAATCAAGCTGGACCGCTTGTGGCAAAATTCAATGTTATGTTATGTTATGATGACTAAAGAGAGGGTAGATGAATATAACTCGGGACACTGCCTTGACGTCTTCGAATTCTGCTAGCATTGCGAATGAGAGAGATGGTTAACTCAAGCAATCTGCAGAATGATAAATGACACCATCCATGCTTCTCTTTCGTTTATAAGCTTTTAATGGGTACGAAGGTTGGGGCAAATTCCAACCTTAAAGCTTTTAATGCTATACTTAACCCCACCACCCTCAACCGGAGCAACCTGCAAAATGATAAATGACACCATGCCTTCTCTTTCGTTTTTTAAGCTTTTAATGGATACGAAGGTTGGGACAAATTCCGGGTAGACCTTAAATTCGAAATCGGACCACAGTGGTCCTGAGTTCCATTTTCATATTTTGTTTTGAATGCTCGGGGAGTCACGTGGTCCAATTTCCAACGTCTAGACAGTAATATGAAACCCAACATCAAACTCTTTTGCAATACAAGTTATATTTTTGGTTTCAATTTCATGTATACATGTGTTTAGAATCGGCAAAAGTCGGTATAGTTTTCCTCACAGAAAGAAGAGAAGGGGAGATTTTATAGCGATGAAGGGCGAGTCATACTCCGCAGAATCACTTAATTTAGGCGATGGCCAACTTCTTCTTGCACTAACCAAAAATCGGGGCTCTGTAGAAAAATTCTACCAACGCCCTTATTGGTTCTTATTCAGGCTATCCTGTATCATGGCCAATTGTTTATTATTAGGTATTCCATTTGAATGACAAAAATTTGACAGTAACCCCATATGTCTTTGCCTTGCTTTCTTTTTGAAACAGTAGCCAAGCTTGTAGTTTACATGGTGGATGTTAATACTCTTTTAATGTAGTGGATGCGAAAAGCTGTTCCATTTTAATGCTTATGTTAGTGGATATTAAGACTCATTAATTTCAGCCAAATATTAGTGCTGCCATGTGCATCTCCATCCAGCAAACTGTAAAGATGTGTGTCCTTTTCCAAGGAGAGTGCCTACAGACAAAATAAAAATGAACCCATGAAAACTAGTAGTAGTAATATTTGTTGTAGAGCCACGAATTGAAAAATTAGCTCATCCTTTTTAAGCTAGAGCGCAGGGTGGTGCAAAGGAGAGTAACAGAATTTTCGTCACGTAAGACTTTAACTCATCTCCATCATCAAGTTTAGAATCACAATCACCAGTTCTTGAAGATCAGGAAAGGAAGAACTCAGAACTCATCTCTACACCGATGAATAAAAAGGTACGCGAATTCTGTCCTCAGTCTCTCTCTCCCTCTCTCTCTCTCTCTCTCTCTCTCTCTCTATGAATTTTTTGTTTCAAAGCCAATTATTATAACCCTACAACGAGTTATTAGGACTTTATAGGTTTCTGCCGCATTATATGTTACAGTATTTAGTGGTCCTTTGTTTGTTCCAGTAGAAAACAAGCATTGAGTTTCTTCAATATCGCACGCTGGGCGTGCCTTTCAACAAGTTAATATCAGCCAAAAGGTAAAATTCATGATACATGGAAGTTGTTTAGATCTTTATATGGTTGATAGATTTCAGATGCATCACTTCCCTCAACTGCAACAATTCGCGAAAAGGCAGGAGTAACACTCTTACATGACAAAAAAGTTTTTTTTTTTTAAAAAAAAAAAAAAAATTTGGTTTCCCGTTTTGGATAACTTAAAAAGTTGAGGAGGAGAGGAAGATTACCCATTCTAAGGCGAGACAAAAAGGTTTTTTTTTTTTTTTCTTTCCGGACTTGCAAGAAAAGTGATGAAGGAACAAGAGATCGAGTATACAAATGGAGTCGTCTCTGATTTCTCAATCCCAAGGAGAATCTTCCGCACACAAACTGAGCAGAAAGGTGTAGAGGGGGGAGGGGGGGGGGGAGAAGGGTATGTATTAATGACATTGGATTCCCTCGGCAGTGTCTGGGGCTGAGAATGGAATGGCTTGGCAGCATTGGTACGTAGCGACCAAAGAGAGCATTATTTGGTGGGGTCTGGGATGGACGCAATGTACTTACAAAACTAGCAGTTACGTCTTTCAACTCCCTCAAAATGAGGGTACTGTCTATCTCCTGTTAGCACATGTCGAATCACAAGGAGCCAATTTCCCAATGTGACGACGCATCTATCTTATC